TTATCTAATACCTGACTGTTTATCACAGGGAAGGAGATGGCAAACTGTAGCACACGGACTGCTATCTATTCTTATAAATAAAGTTTCATTGGATGTGAACTGCAAGGTTTATTACTGATGTAAAATGAGGAAACTGAGGCAAGTATGAGAAAATGAGAAGCCAATTTATTGAGCTCCTGGGTGAGGTTCTGTGGTCCAGGAAGGGGCCGACGAAGTCGCGCCAGGCTGTTTAGGTCATGGGGTTTTATGGGAAGTGAAGGAGATTGATTGGCTATTGGGGAAACAAAGCAAAGGCAATTTTATTGGCTTTCAGGAAGCAGGAAGTACCTGAAACTAGTTTCTATTGGTAGGCGGGTGGGACTTTGGGTAAGTGGGCCTTGATTGGCTGTTGGAGAAACAAAGTGAAGGCAATCTTATTGGCTACTAAGAAGCAGGAAATGTCTGGAGCTAGTGGTTATGGGTAGGCGGGTAAACGCCTTGGGTAAACGGACCTTCTGGAGGCATACAGAGCAGACTGCTACCGGGCAGGGTCTGATGGGGCTTCTTTAAAAAATTTTCCTGCAGTGTTTATCAACAGTGGGCTGGGGGTTGAATGCATAATTTAGTGCTGAATGTGGGCTTGGGTCTGGTATGCGGAGACGGGTGCGGGGAAGCCATGCGGCAAGGCCAGATAATGAGCTTGGGTGATGACGCAGTTATCAGGCGCGGAGAGAGATGGATGAGTCCGTTTAACCCTCTGCGAGGCAGCCGGCCTTACATGAACCACATTTTATATTTATGAATTGTCTATTATTATTTTGGCTCTATAACAGCAAAGTTAAGTAGTTGTAACAGAGGCCACATGGTTCACAACCCTAAAATGCTAATCATGTGACCCTTTGAGAAAAACATTGCTAATCTCTGCCCTAGATAAATAAAAAATCATCTTCAGGTAAAACATTGCACAAAAATGTCCATTGTAGCTTTATGTGTGCAGGCAAAAAGTAGAATCAACTTAAATGTCCCTAGATGATTGAAAGCATAAACAAATAGGATAAACAAACCTGCTACATCCATACAATGGAATACTTCATGACAATTTAAAACATGAACTATTTGTAATGCGACAGCTTGTCCCCATCTCAAGGACATCATCCGGAGTGAAAAACGCCTAATTCCAAAAGTTGACATACTGTATAATCCCATTTGTACAACAGTATCAAAATGACATATTACAGTTATGTAGAACATACTCGTGATGGATAACAATGGGGGGGGGAATGTGGGGACAATGAAAGGACAGTACATGAGCGTTTTCTGGAGGTGATAGAATAGTTCTGTATACACTGAGTAATCATGCATATGACTGACTGTGGTGATGGTTACATGAGTGCAAACATGTGGTAGAGGTAACATACACATATACACACATACACAAACACAAACACAAAAGCAAGTTCATGGGAAAAAAAATACCAGTAAGGAAAGTAGCTGAGTTAGTAGCAGAGTACTGATGTCAATTACTCGGTGTCAGTTATTGTACTTGATAATACATGGGGGGGGCATAATCTACAAAAATTACTCAAAATAAGAAACAGACAGACAAAAGGAAAATCTGAGATTCCAAATTAGAAGAATAGAATAAATGTTCAGGAAAAAATGAAAAATAATTGTTGAGTATTGCTTCAAAAAGAAAAAACAGACAAAAGAAGATAATGTTGATCCTGTAACCGGGTTTTTTTTCTTGGATGCCGGTGATGGTTGTGGGTTCTTGGGCTCCAATGTCTTAAAGAATAAGTGGTGGAGCTGCTTCAGCTGCACCGTATGCTGGAAAAGTGAATATCGGACCCAAAACGTGTTGCAGAAATGTGCCTTTATTTAGGTAGAGAAAACAGAAGGAAAGAAGAGAAAGGATTCCACGAAAAGAGTGGAAGGGGATCCAGAGAGGAAAATCCCAAAGGAGCCCCCACCATGTGGGAGGGGATTCCAGAAAGCTGGAAAACCTGGCCCAGGGGAGGGAGCAGGGACTTCTATTCTGGGAGAAACCCCCACCTTCTCCAAACTCTGGGCCAACGAAAGGAGCTCCTTAGAACTTCCGCTGGAGGGACTGACTTGTGGTTTCTTCCAGTGCCACAAATTCGAACAAAAACCATTGAATCTCCCAGATGGAGAGAGATGGGAGGGGGCGTGGCGCCGCGGAGACTTTTGCCTTTAGAGCTGCGACCCGTCGTGGATCTGGAAAGAGAACACATTTCCTCAGTCCAACCAAAACTTGGCACTAGTTCTGTGAAAATGAACTCTGTGCTCATAAATAAATGATAACATCTCCTAGATTCAGACAAACCAACATTTAAACATCAGAGAGATTAGAAGAAGCCACCAAAAGATTGAGATGGTAGTCTTTGAGAAAGAAGAGAAACCAGGAGAACGTGGTGTTCCATAAACCAAGTGAAGCAGGTATTTCAAAATGGAAGGATGGGAAATTCATGTAAAATTTTGCTGATTATTCAGTTTTGATCAACGGATTTGATTAGAAAGAAGACATTGGTGACTTTACTAGAGAGGTTTAAGTGTAGCGGTGGGAATGAAAAAATGAAATGAGGCAGCAATTATAGATGATACATTGAAGTCATTGTATTATAAACTGAGAAGAAAATTTGGAGCTTGCTAGAAAGAGATTTAGTTCCACAAAGAATTTTGTGAGCTTTTTTTTTTTTTTGCTTCTCTTTAAAATGGAAGATGTTTGGTATATATGCATAGTGGTGGAAATAATTTGGAAAATAGAGAAAGTAATGATGCAGTTGAGAAGGAATAATTGAAAGAGCAAAATCCTTGCATCAAAAGAAGGGATAAAATCTGGTACAGACTGTTGAGACAAGCTGCCCCAGGAAACCCCCTCTGGGCAGCTCCTGGCCCCGCCCCGACTGATTGGTCTGCAGCTGCACTCCTATACTCTTATCTAAGTGCCACAGCAAGGCTGCAGGACATGCTACCACTGAGCAAAGCCTGTGGTCATGGAAAACAAACCTTTGTTACACAGACTTGTAAATTCCTGTTTTACACAAACCTGTAAAATACTGTTTGTTTTTTAACTGCCACCCCAAAAGTCACAGGATGATGTAAGTCTGTCTCAAGTTGACAAACTATCTTTGTGCTTGTTACAAGCTGACAGATTAACTCTGCCCTGAAACTCCCTTATGCCCCTCTCACCCCATATAAACCCCTCATTTTGTAGGCCTCGGGGCTTCCTCCTCTGATGGCTAGGGAGCAGCCCAGCGGGTTAATAAAACTTGCTTGCCTGACTTTGGGTCTGCTCGTCCTGTCCCTCAGCTAACCTTACACAGACCATGACAAGACAGGAGCAAGGCTCAGCATCCAGTGAAAACAGGAGACAGTGCAGAAAAGGATGCATGTGAACAGCAGGTAGTTTTCTGCTGATCGCTTCTATGTCTAGGTGAAGAAATAAATGAAGTCATTAGCATAGCACAAGGTTGGGATTGGTGGTGAAGGAGGGAGAAAATAAAACTAGGGGATGAAAAAGCAGTGCCAAAATTATTTGAGACCGTGATCATTAATTTAAAGACAAGTCAGCACAGTTGCCTTTGTTTTTCTTGTAGACACACTCTGCTGTGCCAGTTCAGGGATGGGGAGAGCAGAGAATTTATTAGCAAAGAATGAGGTGTTCTAAGCTTGGAATACAGATAGAAAGAAAGGAATGCACAGGAGAGTCTACGCAAGGGATTGACTTACAGTGATGAACCATGGAATCTAGTTTGGTTATGGCGGGAAGAGAGAAAGTGAAGGCAAAAGAATAGTGAAAAAGCATCAGGGTCATTGAATAATTGGAACAAATTTAATAGAGTAAGTGAGTTAAAAAGATTGTTGAAATGGTCTAGAGTGTGATGCTTAAAATTTAGATATTTTAGATAGTGTAGCAATTGGAAATGACAAGGCTTAGATAGACAAGAATCAATAGTGGAGACTACCAGTAGCTCACAGGGACTTCTCTGCTTTCTTGATTGGAATAGCTTCTCTAGTTTCTTGATTGGATGCACATAGCTATGTGCATTCCCATTGACTTCTGAACCACCATCAGTAAGTTTCATCTTAGTGAGATCCTTAGGTTGTCTCTTTCTCCAAATTTCCCCATTAAATGTTCAATTTCTGGCTGACTGGCCACTTTGTTGCTTACCTTAGCTAGTATCCTCTAGATAATCTAGTCTTCTCTGATTGTTTCCCACCGTAACCTCTTTGTATTCAGTAGGATCCTCAGGCTTGGACTTTTCCAAGCTATTAAGTCACTCCCGTCCAGCAGGGCCACAGAGTTTCTAGTCCACATAGTCTTCCAGCCCATTCAGGTTCAACTTCTGAGCCACAGAACTGGGCTGCGAGACAAAGGTGGATGAAAGCAGCCGCTCTCTTTTACTGAATATTATGAAGACTTTCTGGAAGAAATCTTTCCCAACAGTTTGCTGTTTGGCCGATTTCCAGAGACAACCAATCGTTGTTTTTAAAATTTATCCAGTTTTATTGCTCCCTTTTGGTTGGGAGTGAATGTACCAAGACCCTCAGATAACCATTCTCAAAGTCCCACCTGAACAAAATGATTTTGAATTATAAGTTTTTATCTTCAAACATTTCAGGAAGTGTCATCTGAGCAAAATTTTTCTTGATTAGACCTTTTCTAGTCTACGAAATATTACAACTGTTAAGATGGTAGCGAATCTTAGTGCCAGTTTTAAAGGGAATTTACAAGTACAAAAGTGGTGTTGCTGTATTAAGATGAGGACTAGATGACCTGCACTTGCTTGCCTCACCAAACAGCTGAATGCTTAGCTAGGAGCAAAAGGGAGCTCCTCTCTTCTCTAAATGGTCCATTTCTGATTATTCCAAACTCAGAGACTTGGTAACTATAACAAGGAAATTAACAGCTGTTATTTGCTCAAATAAGTATTACATGATGAGTTGAGAATATTATTGTGAAAACACTGATTAGACACTATTTGTTTATTTTACACAATCTCCATGAACTTTGATATTTACCACAAAGGGCCTCACTAAACTAGCTTCCCGTTAGTACACTGAAATTCAAAGTCATGCTCATAACTGTTAACGAAAGCAGATTCAAAGCAACACCACCATCACTGGAGTATTTTTAGTTTTATGCGAACGGGACTACCAAGCATGCTGCTCTTATTCGGTATAATTCTAATCTCATGGGTATCCACTGTTGGGGGAGAAGGTAAGTTGAAAACAGATCTGAATATTTTATTTTATTTTCAAATATATTTATTGATTGTGTGTACATGCATAAGTATATTTTTAAATGAAAACATAGCTGAGAATAATTCGAAGGGGTATCATCATATTAATCTATTTTATGGAAATATTTTCTAACATGCAATTAGCAGGAATATAGAATGAAATTAATGCTCTCTATTCTCTAGGTGGTAAAGGGTAAATGGTCACCAAATAGGTAGTGTAAAGAGGAATTAAAGGAGGGAAAATCTGCTAAAGATGACAAGGTGAGGTATTAGTGTAATTCTTCATAAACTCTGGAATTCCACTGACTAGAAAAATCGACCTCAGAAGATTTGGCCACCTTTAAAATGTTTTTAGAATTTTATTTTCATAGATTTGTTAATTTAAATTTTAAACATTGTTAAAATGAAGGAATTCTCATTTGAGACTAATTATCATTGAACAGAGAGAAATGTATTTTGATGAAACAATAGAAAATATTATTTTTATGTGTAAACCAGTGAACTGCCAAGAAATTGCTTTTTCTGAGCTCTTCCACAAATGTGAAAAGTGAAATAATATATATCACCTCCTTATTAATACTATAAACTGGTTCTTATAATATTTTATAAACCGTCTGATTGCATTTCAGGTGGAAATTAAAGCCACCATATCAAAAGAATTGCAAACAAAATCTCAAACAAGGTCTAGGATACTGATTATGTGTGTATATGGAGTTTCAATAATTGTGCCTTACTCTTTGATTTCCAGAAGGTTTTGTTTTACTGCTTTGCTGCTTTCTATTTTTTTTTTTTTTTTTTGAGACGGAGTTTCGTTCTTGTTACCCAGGCTGGAGTGAAATGGCACGATCTCGGCTCACCGCAATCTCGGCCTCCTGGGTTCAGGCAATTCTCCTGCCTCAGCCTCCTGAGTAGCTGGGATTACAAGCACGCACCACCATGCCCAGATGATTTTTTGTATTTTTAGTAGAGACGGGGTTTCACCATGTTGACCAGGATGGTCTCGATCTCTTGACCTCGTGATCCACCCGCCTCGGCCTCCCAAAGTGCTGGGATTACAAGCATGAGCCACTGCGGCCGGGCTGCTTTCTAATGTTTACAGATCTTTAAATTTTTTTGAACACTTTCTCCTCTGTCCTGAAAGAAGAGAAAAATATGAACAATAAAAGGCTTTCTTTCTAATATATGCCCTTACAAATGTTGCAAAACATTATTTCTACGGGCTTGAAATTCATTTAATTTGTTTTTACTTTTAGTAGGGAGTTGTCATCACAGGAGTGTGATTGTATGAGTGTATTTGATTTTTCTTAAATCTGTGTTTATGGTATTTATGAAGTGGCTTAAACATCCGTCACAAATGGTATCACAAGAATATTAAATGTGGGGTGGAAGCAGAGGAAGATAAGTGAAAATTATGAATTAGAATTTTGACAATTCCTAACCCAGCAAAAAACATTGAAGCTTCAATCCAGTCCCAGGATAAACTTCAGTGAAGTTCTATCTAGAAGTTGTCTAGGTGTTAAATGACCTTTAAGTGTGTGTTACGCTTTTGTTTAGGTGTCTGTTTAGAAACTTGCCAAACAGCAGAAACAACACTCGAAGGCAACACTTTTGTACAAAGAGAAAACTGCATGCCTCCAGTAGCAAAATATCAAGCAATATATTTATTAAGTAATATATTGTGCTTCATGCTGTAGCAGAGAACCTGGAAAGAATATGACAACGCCAGCCACGCCTCACTACAACTTACGGTGTCCTAAAAGAAAAGCATCATGTAAATAAGCAAATAAATTGCAAGGTTATATATAGGGCATTGTCTGTGAGTGTTTGTGTGTGTGTGTGTGTGTGTGTACAGTCATGCATCACTTAATGATAGGAAAACATTCTGAGAAGTGCATTAGGCAATTCTGTCCTCTTGCAAACCTCATAGAGTGTACCTACACAAACCTAGATTGTATAACCCACTACCTCACTAGGCTGCATGGTGTAGCCTGACAGTCTTAGGATGCAAACCTGCACAGCATGTTACTGTGCTGAACACTGTGGGCAATTGTAGCACAATCGTAAGAATGTGTTTATCTAAACATAGAAAATAAACATACAGTATAAAACATTAATAATGGTGGACTTGTATAGGATTCCTGCCATAAATAGGGTTTTCAGGACTGAAAGTTGTTCTGGGTAAGTCACTGAGTGAGTGGTGTGTGAATATGAGGGCTTAGCACCTTACCATACACTACTGTAAACTTCATAAACACTGAATCTTGGGATAGACTAAATTTCTTTTATTTATATATTTATTTCTATATTTTAGAGGGAGCAAGTGATTTTTAGTTACATGAGTAAGTTCTTTAGTGCCAATTACTGAGCTTTTGTTGCACCCAGGGTAGACTTAATTTATTTTAAAAACTTTTCTTCAATAATAAATTAACTTTAATTTATGGTAACCTTTTTTAGTTTATCAAGTGAAACATTTTTAACTTGTAACTCTTTTGTGATAACATTTAGCTCACAACACTCTTTGTACAGATATACAAAAGATTTTTTTCTATCTTTATTCTATAAAATTTTATTTTAAATATTTTATTTATTTATTTACCTTTTACACCTTTTTGTTAAAAACAGACATAAACACACACATTAGCCTCGACCTACAAAGGGTCAGGATCATTGGTATCACAGTCTCCCTCCTCCCCTCTGGTCCCTCTAGAAGGTCTTCAGGCCAGTATCACACATGGAGCTGTCATCACCTGTGAAAACAAAGGCTTCTTCTGGAACAGTTCCTGAAAGACCTACCTGAGGATGTTTTACAGTTAATTTTTCTAATGAGAAGAAGTGAACTATAAAATAATGATAAAAGCTCTAGTATATTAAATACATTAATCAGTACCATGGTCACTTATTATCATTATCAAATATTATGTACTATACATAATTGTGTATAATATAGTTTATATGACTGGCAATGCTGTAGGTTTGTTTATACCAGCATTGCCTCAAAAATGTGAGTAATACATTGCACCACGATGTAACGGAGGTCATCAGTTGGTAAGAATTTTTCAGCTACATTATAATCTTATGGAACCACTGTGATATAAGTGATCAGTCATTGACCAAAACATCATTATGTGGTACATGACTGTATGCCTGTATGTGTGCTTCTATATATGCATATATATATAATCAGAAGAAATATATTCATAATATTCTATCAGAAGGTTGAGATAAGAAAAATTATTTTCTACATTTCAAGGGGGTGATTGTGTAATGGGAGGCTTGTAAAAGAACAATAACACTCCTGGCTTGCACCATTGTGGATGTGCACAATGGGTGTGTGATCAGTGCTGTAGAGCACGTTCTGCAGGATAGGTAGAATATAATTGGATGATGAGAGCAAAGTTATTCTGGATGATGAAAAATATGTAAGCATGAATGTATGAAAATTGTATAATTTTGCAATTTTGGAGGAGTGAAGGATACTTAAAAGGAGTTATGATATGTTAATACTATCAAGACACGAGGGAGTCTTTCCTTCAATATCTTCTCTAAAAATATCTAGTGTCACATTCCAGACAGTTAGATAATCAATTTAGGGTTTCACAAGGTTAAATACCACAGGAATTATTTCAAATATTGTACAACGTTAAATATATCTTCAAGGTAGATCAAAAGGTGACATCTCCCTTGTCAGCTGAATTTCTGCGTGCTTTTTCCCCACAAGGTGAAAAACCAAAACAATTTCTCAAGCAGCAATGCTACATTGAGAAAATGCCTTGAGCTAAAAAAAAGGGCACTACTGTACTGAGGAAATATCTTGAGCTAAAAAAGCACCAAAGATAAAGTACATCAAATCCATAGAATGTACAATATCAAGAGTAAACCCTAATGTAAACTATGGACTTTGAATGATAATAATATTGATGGTGAGGGGGGCTATTCCTGTGGTGGGGAAGAGGAAGTGGTATATAGGGAATCTCTGGACCTTCCACTCAAATTTGCTGTGAAAAAAACTGTAAATACTAAAGTCTAATAAAAATATGTGTGTATATATACACACATTTATACATATATATAAACTGTAGATAAAAACTATAAATAAAAATTAAAGTCTAATACATTTTTTTAGACTTTAGTATTTGTTTTTATTTAAAGTTTATATATATACGTTATATATATACACACAAGAAAATAGAGTCAAAACGTATTGAGATTTCACCCATTTTCTGCATTGTTTTAATACATCTTGCACCAGAGTGCATATGGGTGTATGTAAGTGTGTATATACATATATACGGTAGTCCCTTAGTATCCTGAAGGAATTGGCTCTAGGACTCTCCTCAACCCCAGCGGATACCAAAACCCACAGATGCTCAAGTCTCTAAGAGAGACTAGTGTAGTCTTTGCATGTAACCTATGCATATCCTCCCATGTAATTTAAGCCATCTCTAGATTATTTATAATACCTAATATAATGTAAATACTATATAAATAGTTGTTATATTTTTATTACATCATTTTTATTGTTTTATTATCTTTTTATTGTTTTTTTTTTTCTTTTTCAAATGTTTTGGGCCAGCAGTGTAAAGACATATTTATATATACAACACTTACCAAAATTTAGCTCTAACTTAATCTTGGTTGAGTTGTTCTTAGTGATTTTCTTGTACTCTTTAAATTATTCTCACTGAATGGATATAAGCTTTGTAACAAGAAAATAATCAAAATATTAATAAACAAAAAACAAACTACCTACCCAACATTTTTACAGCATCAGAAAAAAAGAATAAACAGGACAGAGTTTCTGGTGGAGATACCTATGACAGTTGATGAGAATAGAGAAAAGAAGTAAGTCTGAGAGCTGAGAATAATCCTATCACTCCTCTACTGTACACTACATAGATCAGGGAGATTTGCCACTCTTACAATCTGTCTTCATTCTTAAATTGTTGTGTGAGGGTTTTCTTCCTGAGCACATTGCAGAAGAGCTCATATTTCATATCACTCCAAAATATAAATTTCATATTCATTGACAATGACCTCCTCAAATACTCATACTCTTAAACAGTGATCTTTCTTTGTTTCTAATGAGTACACTGGAACGCATTTAAGCTAAAGGTATTTAAGCTGAAGGAAAGAAAAAACTGTAAATGAGATGATTAAAGCATAACCTAGTGATTGATTGATGTAGCTTATTATGTAATTCTTCAGTTTTGTGTTATTTTTTCCAGCAACACTTTGTGATTTTCCAAAAATAAACCATGGAATTCTGTATGATGAAGAAAATTATAAGCCATTTTCCCAAGTTCCTATAGGGGAAGTTTTCTATTACTCCTGTGAATATAATTTTATGTCTCCTTCAAAATCCTTCTGGACTCGCATAACATGCACAGAAGAAGGATGGTCACCAACACCAAAGTGTCTCAGTGAGTAAACGCCCTGATCATTACATGGATTTCTTTTGGTGAATAGAGAAGGATGTGCCAGAGAAGATCATAAGGTCATGATAATGACAGGGGCAGTGGCCAGAGGAGCTGGAAAGATGGGAGACGTAGTCCTCCTATTTTGTGGTGCCTCTTATGAGAATCAAATGAGGAACATGTATGTCAACTGTCTTGCATTACCTAGAAATGCTCTATGCATTGAAATATATTAATTTTAAAAATCATAATTAATTATAATTAGTATATGTGACTGCTAATATTTCTTTACTAATATCATTTGGTAGCAGCCTTATCATAGCTTTCCTTTAAAGTAAGTCAATTTTATACATTTTCTGTTTTGAATTTACCATTCTCTTGCACGCTGCAAGGTAAGGTTTAGTATTTTCACTTTTATATTTTTAATAAATCATTTCTTTGGACCTTCAAAGTGTAGCTATATTTATCCTCCACTAAATGTACAGAACAGACTCCAATGACAACAAGTGTATTAAAAAAAGAAAAACAATGGGAGAGAGAATAGATGAGGCAACAAAGGAGATAATAATGATCTTTCTCCTTTTGTAGGAAATGTTCAGGAGAATTGAGAGAAGTATTTATATGAACATATTGTTTTGTCCCAAGAAAAGTTTATAAACATAAAATATTTTATTATAACAACCATACAGCAGTAGCATGAAATATTAACTTTCTTTTATATGTACACATATGGGAACAAAAAATATATTTCATCATTTGGTCATACAGTAACATGACCAAATTCTTTTGAAAGTATTTACACATGATGTCAGTTTTCAAAGTTTTCAGCTCTTAATAAAATATTTTAAAATGCAGTTGAACTTTTTTTTGCTACCTTCATCTTGTACATTAAATAATGTTTGGTCCTTAGGAATATGTTTTTTTCCTTTTGTGGAAAATGGTCATTCTGACTCTTCAGGACGGACACATCTGGAAGGTGATACTGTACAAATTGTTTGCAACGCAGGATACAGCCTTCAAAATAATAAGTACAACATTTCATGTGTAGAAGGTGGCTGGTCCTCTCCTCCCAAATGCACCTCCACTAGTAAGCAAAATTCTGCTCTCTCAGATCATGGTATCTTTTGTTAATTTTTAAAAGAAATAAATCTATTGTTACAGGTTAAATGTAGATTTCATCACTACTTCTATCATTATTTGTTTGATTTTCAGCTCCAATTGTGTCTAAGTAGATGTGCAATAACATAGTTTGCCTACCTATGTAAATCGAATGTATGTGATAGGTAGAAATATTATACAAGAATACACTTTGAAGAAAATCAGTTTTAAGCAATAATCTGTTTGGTATTTATATTATCAGGTTAGTTAACAATAAATGGTTACAAAACTGAGGTAATAAGTGAAAATAAGTCCAATTCCAGTTAAAATGTCTTAAAAGAGAGCTTTTACTATTTATCTTTCTTTAAATTCATATGCTCGAGTCAATAAAGCATCATCTTCTACGTTGTAAAACCTCCATACTTCTGAGATGTATGTTTGTTTGTGAGCGGCTTAGAATTCGGAAAACGATTCTTTCAGAAACCTGTGGTGTAAGTGCTGGCACCTCTCAGTCCTGGGTGAACTCTTGCAATTCTTCATCTTTATAGCTCTTCAGTAATTGCTCTTCGCTCAGCCCAATGC